TTGGAGGTCCCCCATCAATATAAATTGAAGTGGCTGTGTTGTGATTCTATGCATGAGTGCCATGCGCGGATCTAGAGGGGGTTAGGACCCCTCACCCCTCCCCTGGGATTTGCAAAGTTATTAAATTTATTTACTAAAGCAAGAAAAAAAGTTACGTAGGAACCCCCTCGGAAAACGCAGACTCCCTGGTAAACGCGAATTTGTGTTAAATTGGTATGAAAAGGCTAAGGTTTGAAGCATTAGAAGTCATCGGCTAACCCCCCCCCCTCCCCCGAAATAGGTTTTGAAGTTTGGGCGAGTTTACGGGGTTTTTTTTTTGCATGTCAAGAAATATCTGGGTTGAATATAAATTATTAATAGTCGAAGCATATAGGAAGGGAAAGCAACCTGCCGATGAGAGTTCCACATTCTACCAAAAATTAGCTTTTTTATACCTCTTGTCTAAACAATTTTTGTCCAGATCCCTTACCTGAGAAGGTACATGTATTTGAGAAAGTTCCCAATGTTCCCATTCCTATGATGTAGACTTCACGTTTACATGTATTTTCCTTTCAATTTCGGCGTTTAGGTTTATTTTCTTTTCAAAAGTAAAATTATTATTTAAATTTTTGAACAAGTTTCGACATCCCCGCCTGACAAAAAAATCTTTGATCTGTCCCAAGATCTAATAAATGGTACAGCACAAAATACATATGATTTTATATCTATTATTGCGCTTACAGATGGTTACAGGAGGAGAGAGAGCGAGAGAGTTCAATGAACAAGAGGCCCATGGGCCTTATAGGTCACCTGAGCATTATGCAACAACTTTCCTGCAGTGATTGAATCTGATCCATGTTTTAAGCCAGATGCTATTATAATAGCATTTACAATTTTGATCATCATAACTATACACTTAGCAGTTGCTTAGTTTGGTTACTTAATACCCATAGGCAGGGTAAGGGAACAAAAAATGCATTTCAACAAATCAGTAATACTCAGCAATAATCAGTAGTGACTCTACCACACATGAACCCTTGAATCTTGCACAATTTTTAAAAAGGCATCCTTGCTTTTCAAAAATATTTGATTAATACCAAGGAGCAGATTTCAAACAATTCATTCATTTTCAGTATATAAGTACAGCCCCCCCCCCCTCTATGGTACTGCTGACCCTGGGGCCTTGAAATTCACAATTCTTGAAGATAAGGGCCTTTGCTCATAACTATATAGGTAGTTCATCTGCTTAATACACAGCACAAGAAGAAAAATTCAAAGATTTAATGTTTTTTCACTATACATGTGTAATCAATAGAGCCCCGCCCTAACACCAGAACCCCTGACCCTTGGGCCATAAAATTCACAATTTGGTAGAGGTACTCTTGCTCATCATAACTATGTTCTTAGTTAGTTTATATAAAACATAGGAGCAGAGAAGAAGATTTTCAAAGAATTCATGTATTTTCACTATATGATCAATAGAGCCCAGCCCTAACACCAGAACCCCTGACCCTAGGGCCCTAAAATTCACAATTTTGGTAGAGGCACTCTTGCTCATCATAACTATGTACTTAGGTAGTTTATTTAATACCTAGGAGCAGAGAAGAAGATTTTCAAAGAATTCATGTATTTTCACTAGATAATCAATAGAGCCCCGCCCTAACAGCAGAACCCCTGACCCTGGGGCCATAAAATTCACAATTTTGGTAGAGGTACTCTTGCTCATCATAACTATGTTCTTAGTTAGTTTATTTAAAACATAGGAGCAGAGAAGAAGATTTTCAAAGAATTCATGTATTTTCACTATATAATCAATAGAGCCCAGCCCTAACACTAGAAACCCTGACCCTGGGGCCCTAAAATTCACAATTTTGGTAGAGGCACTCTTGCTCATCATAACTATGTACTTAGTTAGTTTATTTAATACACAGGAGCAGAGAAGAAGATTTTCAAAGAAATAATGCTTTTTCACTATATACTTATTTAGCCCCGCCCTAGCAAAAGAACCCCTGACCCCAGGGCCATGAATTTCACAATTTTGGTAGAGGACTCAATGCTAATTACAATCATGCAAACAGTTTGACTGCTTGATGTCCAGGAGTAAAGAAGAAGATTTTTAAAGATTGCATTAATTTTACTGGTTTTGGCCCCACCCCCCAGGCCCCAGGGGGGCAGGGATCATGAAATTCACAATTTTTGTTCCCCCTCACCCATAGATGCTTTGTGCCAAATTTGATTGAAATTGGTTCAGTGGTTGCAGAGAAGAAGCTGAAAATGTTCAAAAGTTTACGACCGATTGACGACGAACGACGTACGACGAACGACGTACGACGGACGACGACGGACGAAAACAGATAGCAATAGGTCACCTGAGTGACTCAGGTGACCTAATAAAAGAGTAATTAAAAATTATCTGTATTCCACCAGGTTTCAAGTTTCCCTACCAAGGTTTTTAAAAGTATCTCCCAAATATTGCAACAGAAATTATTTTTATTTTTAATAAAACTAGACTGTCAGACAGGGATACTGAAATCTCGAAAGACTTCCTGTAATAATTCTAAAACAGCCACATTCCGCAAAAATGTTTATACTTTGTGGTCGGAGTGAGACAATAAAAAATCTTCAAAAATGGAATTGGCAGAAATGTCTGTCTTCCAAGAATATTTAGGTAACGGCCATGTCAATTATTTCTGCCCCCCTCCCCACCCTTAAAATACAAATGCCTCAATATCAGTCCAAACGGGGGATGTTTTTTCCGCGTGTGTGTTAAAGAACGTACAGATGCACACATAAACTTTTGTATTCTGGTTAAATGTTTTTAAGTCTTGAACTAAATATTACCGTATATCAAATTACTTGGTTAAGATTTGAGATTAGTACTAAAATAATCAGTTGTAATTGACAAATGAATTTTGCGATGCAAAACAACTGCAGGTTTATTAAAACTAGACAGACAATTTTCAGTTATACCTTATGAAGCCGTTATAATTATACTTTAGACCCCCCCCCCCATTTCAGCCGCGCAAATACCACTCTTTACCACTTGTGATATTTTCCCTGACCAAAATCTGATCAGCACGGACTAAGTGTATCGACGCTCTAGACTGTACGGAGTAGATACAGTGTGTTTATTGAGTTTTTATGGAGTTTATTTCTTTTTGTGATGCATATTTCAATAAATGGAATTCAGGGTGTATATCACTTGACTTGTGCACATCTTCGAACCGATGCAGTGATCTTATTACCAGGTATGGGTGCGTTTACAGCGTTCGACGCGTTTTCTCGACATGCATCAAGGTCTGCATAAAACCTGCAAATCAAAGACGCTGATTGTTTTGTTCCATTCAAATAATAATAATTTCAAAGTGTGTTTACGGGTTTTAGTGCTTTTTATTTCATGTTTATTCTGCATAAATTGGCGCAGTGTAAAAATGCGTACTCGTGCAACTAAATCTTTCTTTCAAATTTGCATTTTCTTTCTTTTTTTATTACATTTGATTCAAATCTATAATTATTCAGAAATATGATTATTATGTTGTGTGGTTTTGAAATGTCTTGATCAACCCATGTGTTTTCAAATGTTTTACCATCGCAGATGTGCACAAGTCGATAGCCAAGCCAAAAAATCATTCAAGTGTAACGAGGGCATTCGGGTATATATCGTTACAATAAGACAAGGTATCTGAAAGAAATATGGCGGAATACGGCTATAGTTGGTATGAAACAAGTCGTACATAGATGAAAAAGTTGCGTTTTTAAGAATTCATGTCAGCTTTAACTTGTAATACTTTTCATTGGTGACTTGTGGGGAATATTTATCACTGCTGACTTGTGGGGAATATTTATCACTGTTAACTTGTAATACTTTTCATTGGTGACTTGTGGGGAATATTTATCACTGCTGACTTGTGGGGAATATTTCTCACGTAGGTTATATTTATCATTGCTGACTTGTGGGGAATATTTCTCACAGTTAACAATTTTAGGTAATATTTATCACTGCTGACTTGTGGGGAATATTTCTCACTGTTCACTTGTGAGGAATACACATGTATTGACCATTGCTTTACCCTTAAAACTTTGTTTCCATATAAATGTTGCCTTTGAACCCAACCAATAAATGTACACTTCAGTGTATATTGCTGACTTGTGGGAAACATTTATCACTTATTGGGAAATGCATTATTTTATTATACATGAACATTACAGATAAAAATTATTTTTCAACAAATAAAATAACTATCAAATCTTAAAAAAAAATCAATCATCAATATTAATAATTGTATTGAAACTACATGTATTACTAATCTAATGTTTACAAGTCTTTTAAATCAAAGCACATTAATTTTAAAAACATTTGTTTTCCTTCACTAGATTTAAAACAAATTGCAAATTTTAATTTTCTCAGGTAAAAAAAATGTTTTCAATTCAAAAATAATAAGTATGTTGAAAAGGATAAAAAGTCATAAAATAAGGAGACAGTATATATAAGTACTAATTTAATCATTGATGGATTTAATTGGCCAATGACTAATTATTATTAACCAAATTTTGATTATATTTTGTAAAATTTTCTGATTATTGTTACACAGTTAGCATGGTTAGCACACATGTATATTTTCTGACAACTTCTCAGCATGTTCATGAGGCTTTTTACCTACTTTGAAATCATGAACAAGGACCAAATTTTTTTTTTTATTTTAGATATAACGGTTTATATACTTCTATGTACATGTATTAGGCTTCATAACATACATGCTTTTTTTTTATTATTTCTGTTTTTAGAGCAACGGAAGTACTGTAAACCAACTTTTATTTGAGTGCAAGAAATATTTGCCAGTTTCATGACCTAGATTTACTAGTGAATAGTAAATTATTAATTGCCCTGAACTATTAATTTTGCTTTATATTTGTAGAGAATGTTTCCTTTCATTAGTCACAGAAATTAATCAACACAGATTAGATATGCAAATAAAAGATGACACAAATAGGGTACATGTGTACTACCTGGTAGTTGGTTTACAGTACTGCTCACATATAGAGTTCAAAATGAGATTTTACAGCTATCTTGACTTACCAATACTAAATCCTTCTGTTTCCATACACAAATCCAGACAAAATGCTTTCAGTTATAATACTCTAGTTCTTTACATCCTTCATGTCCATGCAAGCGTGTCTGTTGACTTTGACTCCAAGTCTCAGTCTCTAACATTTTCAAGAATAAAGTTGTATAATTTGCTCTTGTGGTGAAAACCCGAAAACCTGCAATGATAATTTTAAGTTCAGTTCAAAGATTTCATTGTATATATTTTTTAAAGTGTTCATATCTTTACCTATAATTACAAGACAGGTATATCTCCACATCACTCAATAGTAATTTTTGACCCCATGCGGCATGCCAAAATTAAGACTTAATGTATGCCCTTTCCTGAACCATATTGTTAACAGTGGGTAGGTAGGTATGAAAAATATTTTACTTTTTTCCTTCTTGTGACACAGAGAGCTTTCCCTTTTAAATCAACCGTACAATAACTGCGAAACAGAACACTTTCTCGTGGATGTTTGATGAGCAGAAACTGTTTTATATGCAAAAAATCAACGATACAGTACAACTTATTTTTAGGAATGACAGAAAACTGAATCAATACCTTAAATGATAGTCATTGAAATTGCATGATAGTGCTGTTAGTATTTATTTAAATTTAATTAAAATGAGAATAGAAATTTACAGCGTAAAGTTACCAGAGGCAGATTAAAAATTTTTAGAAAGGAGGAGTGGGTGCAGAAATCATGGTTTTCTCAAAAAAAAAATAAAAGACCAAAATCAGGAAGCATTATCAGACCCAAAACTTTGAGCGCGATCGTTATATGTAAATAAATTTAAAAAGGTATAAATTCAGTTAAGCAAATATAAATAATTATGAATAATAGATATTGAATCTTAAAATCTCAACATTACCTTTCAATTTTATAACCAATTTTAAATTTTAAATATGCTCGCTATCATAAAAGCTGATCTAATTGTTATTACTATGTTTCTCCATTTCCTCCAATTCGCATTATTTTGTATACCACGCCAAATCATAATTCAATAGTAATTGTGGTTTTGAAAAGGATTTTTAGTTATTTTTTACATATGATTTTGTTTCTTATTTATTCCATCAGCATCTAAACCCCAAGGCCAAGGTTTGAATTGTAACAAATTTTAAAAATAAAAGGTGATCTTTAATTAACAATAAGTATTTAATTAAAATGAATTTATTAGACATTTTAATTGGGCCTAAATAAATAAGTAGTGTGTTTTCAGCATGTTTAGTTCCCCGCCTAACTCTAAGAAGTATAGGAGCCGACCCTCAATATTTTTTCTGCTAATATCTTTCCATGAGTAAACTACTGTATGTATACTTTAAAATGCAGGCTTCATATTTTAGCGGCTTTGGTGCAGACAACAATGCACTAATTCATGAATACTGCTAAGAAATCATTTACATATTGATATATACAATACACCGCACATACATGTGTAGCGCTAATTTATGATTATGCCAACCCAGTGATTATGCTAAATTTTGAAAGCACCAAATTATATACACATATTACAGTATTCGGAATTCCAGTTTACAATTAGAAATGAAATCCCAATCTTGATCACTTCCATGTTTGAGAAATGCATATCAGATTATCTTACACATATTAATCAGAAATATTTTGACAGTGAAATCCTGGGGGAAAGTGGCAGCGTGCCTGCCAATAAAATGTTAAAATAAAATAAAAATGTTTTTCCTACCTACCTACCCTATCTTTTCTAAGGTTAAAATAGGAAACACTATCTATTTATCTTGGCCTTAGCAAAATAAAAAAAGATACTTATGATACATCGATAATGATGGTCTAAAATCATGAAAATATTTTCAGTAGGGCAATCAGGATGAATGTAGAACAGGGTGCAGGTGAAAGATAATGAAGGCAAATGGACACTATGCAAACCAACGCATGCGAAGTAATATATACAAGTAGGAAGAATGACTTGATAAAAAAACGATAACTAAATCAAGCTTTTTTTGGAAGAATTAAACATGTTAAATAATCTAACCAAGCTAAGAAATTTTAGCTACGTAAATCTATAAATGTACTGATTTCAATGGACCTTTTGAAAAGGTGGAGTTCTCTGTGATACATTTCTGACACTGAGTCAGTGTGTGACTGACATCGTTTATAAATACACGTACAGTTTAAGTCAGATTAACTTTTACAATTAATTCGCCCACACAGGCCTCACTAAACAGCTAAAGACCAGACAGTCGCACCGTCTAGCATAATTTGTATGGGCATGAGGAGGATAGTCGCGTTTCACTTTCACAAAAAAGGGGGACAAGCCTTAAACGCTTACCATATCCCGGGGGTGCTGAATTCATATAAATCCGTAGTTTGTTCTTACAGGATAGCCATTAGGCCTATAAACATGATACAATTAAAAAAAAATAACCGAGGTCTAGGTCGGGTCAAACTTTCCCAAAGTTTTACGTGCATTCATTATTAAATGTTACTTTACGAACGTCTGTAAGAAATAACTGCATGCATGATTTACGTAGTTAAATTAAGTTTTCAGCCTATAATATCTTTAAAATATGATAAAAAATCTACTTACCACATATTCTCGGAGCAGCCATTGCCCGCAATAAATTGGTATCATATGGCATGTATGGGGACCAGTTTAAATTCCGCAGCGTTCCGAATGAACATTTCCCAGCATCCTCAAACATTCGTTTTACGGTGCAGTGAGAAAATTACTGCGAGTCAATTTTACGGACTTATGGGGATTTTTTCAAAAATGACCACAAATCGAACAAGTTTGGCTTTCCAGAAAGCCTGAAATGTCATCTCTTTGGTATCAATAATGTCAAAGAAATAAAACAGAAAGGGATATATTTTAATGCAATGAATATATGGATTATTACACTTGAAGTTCCCAAATGACTTATATTCAGCAAACTCCACAGTAAAGTACGCAGTTTCTTTTGGCCGCAGTATATATATGGAAAGCATGGACGTCTGCGAGAGCACCCAAGGCGATTTTTAGTGAAATTTCATTCTACTTTCTAGCGGTCTTTGTGCTTCTGGGTGTTTACAATTTACTTAAATTATAATACTTTCCTTGAACTATATTTTCTTAACACAATACGGAATTATCAACAATAATTATCATTCATTTAAAAGCAGCTAATCATTAAAGTTTGACAGGAATTAATTTAATAAATCCAATTACAGACTAAAAAATTAACATAAAATTAGTGTTGACCACTCTTCGTTAATTTTTTGCAGAATCTAATTGTAAACTTGTTCTTTTGTGCGAGAACCAGTTTTCCCTTCGCGTCAACAAATCTATATATAGAAATCACGTCATTGTCAATTCTCCTTGTGTGGCTTACCAATTTAATAAGGCATAGTATTGACGATCAATATATATACGACACACCGAAACTATAGATATTTATAAGCATCGTACTTCTTTTCTAAATTTTCCTTGGCTTTCAAATAGGCCTAAACCGAAAGTAGATCACACACTCCTAAGCTAGTTCTTCTAAAAGAAAACCAGTTTACAGGCTACTTGGAACTCTGTAAAACATCGAGGACTTCCGAAAGATTAATGGAGGCTTACACTAGGACTTCACTTCCGGCATACAATCTTAATGTGTCATCTCCCGAGGGAGATGACAATAAATATTATCAGTAGAACACGTAGAATTCAAAAAACCCCATGACCATATTTGTGGGGAACGAGAGAGTTCCCCACAATTCTGAACTTTCCCCATAAGAAAGGTCCTTTGTCAGGTGTGAGTTCCCCACAAGTCGGTGAGCGCGAGTGCTCTCTCTCTCTCTCTCTCTCTCTCTCTCTCTCTCTCTCTCTCTCTCTCTCTCTCTCTCTCTCTCTCGTGTAATTTTTTTTATTTATGCATTTTTTTTACAGTAGCACAGATGTGTTTTCGTCAATACCAACAACTTTATTGGACTACATACCAATATTATTAGGAGTAATGTTACCAATCATTGGGATTTTCATTCTGTTGTGTGCTTTATTTATAAAACACAAGAAGAATTCAAGCAAGGAGGACAACATGGATCCAGAACAGGCGCATCTTCTCTGTAAGTAATTATGTTAATTGAAGCTATAATGGTACATATACCGAAAGAGGTAATTTGAATCATCATTATTTCAAACATATCTGCGAAAATTCTTCTCTGATTAGGAAACAGTACGTTTTTTTCTTTATTTGCATGTTAGCTATTCACAGTGTAAAAGAATGTAAACTCCGTTGTACTACTGATAAAGTAAAACCTTGTCAAAATTCACAGATATTGAAATAATTTTTTGAATTGTTTTCATTGTAATTACAATTTTATGATTTATGCATACAAACACATATGAGCCTGACTTGATTTGGAATAAAATCATTCAAAGAGAGTTGTAATAAAGTTTGCTAGCATAATATAAATGATAATGTTTATTAGTAGATGGTTTTTAAACAATTTATCTTGAAAATGTACATTTTGTAGTAAAAATATAATTAGAAAAAATTGATAAAAATCTAATATATTACCTTCCAAAGTATTTATATATTTAAGCAAAATGCAATTAAAATATTTATTGTATGTTTTTTAAAAATAAATTTAATATTATTTAGCGGTTTATAAAAAGCGTAATCTGTCCCAAGTTTTGTTATATTGTATAAAATAAGTTGAAATAAGTTTCATTCCTTGTAATTTAATTTCAGTGCAGACAATTAGACATCCCCCAGAATAAGGTTTCACATTGAATAATTCTTAAAAGTAACGTCAAGCGAAATAACACAATTTTTTACGTAACTCATTGTGACGTAGGCAAGTTATGTTATAAAAAATTGATAAAATCTTTATCCAATCAAATGACGTGTTATAAGTGAAATTATTGAAAAAAAAACATTTTTAAAAATAATTTTTAATCCTATTTTATTTTTGTTTTTTAATGAAATTTAGAGAATGGCAATCCAGGTGAGGTATTTATAGAAACTCGAGCGTACCAAAAAGCAAGAGATGTTTTGTTCGTCAAGAAATATGTGTTCGTAAAAGGAAACCCAGGAGACGGTAAAACGACAATAGCTAAATATCTCTTGAGAGAATTGAAAATATCCTTTAATAAACGTGTGAAGGTTGTCACTGGCCTTAAGGAATTGTGTGGAAAACATGATCAAACCAAAGATACCGTATTTTTTTTAGATAATATCTTCGGAGAATATGTTTTCAGGAGCTCAGAAATAGAACAATGGGAAACAACAACGATTTTTATGGAAAATGTTCTCTCCAATGAAATTGACAAGAAAGGAAACTTTTTAATTGTTACAATCAGCAATGATATGTATTCGGAAATTCGAGCTCAACTGCAGTTTAAAATGGACTTCATTAAAAATGCTTTAGTTGATATATCGGACACGGAGAACAAATTGACGAATGAAGAAATGAAAAAGATTTGTAATCTTTATGTAGGAATACCATTACCAAAAAAAAAATTACGCAAAGCACTCAATTGTGGACCCCCTTTAGGGTTTCCACAGTCTTGCAAGATGTTTGGAAACATCAAACCATTACAACGTAATGGACTAAATTTCTTTATAAACCCAACTAAATGTTTAAGCCAGTATGTCGAAGAAATGTATTGGCGCTCCATGCCCCAGTTTTCTGTTCTTGTTTATATTCTTATGAAAAATGGTAGTGTTTCTATGTCTTCTCTATGCGATATTAACTTTGACAGGGAGATAAAAATAAAAGCTAGGAAAGTATGTCCTGACAAAAACGTTACCCCTATATCTTTTGAGTTCATTAAATGCATCGATGAAATAATAGGTTCATTTTTGATTGAGGAAAATGGATCTTGTACATTTTCACATAGTTGTATTCAAAATGTTATTCAGAATACTCTGATAAAATTTGATCTTTCTTTCGTTATCCAGTGTTGCCACATGCCATTATTAATCAATCTCTATATTGCAGAAAATGGAGAAAAGACAACAAACTTACAAACAATTGACCGAAGTTTCTTTCCTGAGATCTTTCAAAAAATTGTTGAGAATCTCAAATGTTATAGATATGCTGACACTTTTCAAACCATATCCTGTTTACATTTTTGGAAAAACAAAACTTTTTGCACTGAGTTTAAAGACTTTCTGGGTAAAGATCAATCTGTTTTAACTGAATTTGACGAAAACGGTGCATCATTGCTGATTCATTTTGCAGGGGCAGGTCAAATTGAAATGGTTAAATTCTTATTGAAAATAATAAAAAATGACAAACAAAGGTATGACGCTCTGAATCAAGCAACGTTGATGAATCATAGCAATGTTGTCCAGATTATTTTAAATGAAGGAGTAACTCCCGACGCTAAAAGCTGTTTCTGTGCTATACAGAATGGTAATATGAATATAATAGAGCAACTTATCAATGCAGGACTTGATTTATTGGAGGTTTCTGAGTCTCACCACCCATTATATCACAACAAATATGTTTCAATATTAGTGGAATGTTGTTTATGGGAGAGAATGGAACTGATATATTTTCTATTGAAAATTTGTCCTGCTCTAAGCAATGTGAAAAATAACCAGGGAGAGTCTACCATTCATTTTGTTGCCCTTGCAGGTGCAACAGAGATCCTTAAAGCACTTATAACTGACCACAAATGTAACCCATATCTTAAGCTAAAAAAGGGGGGATCAATTTTACATTGTGCATGTGAGAATGGAAAATTAGAAACGGCAAAACACATAATAAGTCAATATCCTGATCTATTAAAAGAAGAACACGACTTATATAGTGACGGATCTATTCTACATATGGTTGCTGCTGGGGGTAACATTGAATTGTTACATATTTTAAGAAATCAGGAGCTAATTAATTCACCTGAGACAGGCGAGACTGTTTTACATATAGCCTGTTTTTTTGGAAGATTTGAGATGAGTAAGATGCTCCTAGACATTTTTCCGGAATTACTGGCTACTAAAGACTTTAATGGCACTGGTGTCTTACACTTTGCTGCTCTTGGAGGTAACATTGAAATGCTGGAGTTTCTGTTAGAGAAAGGTTTGAATATATATGAAAGGGCAAATAATGGAAAAACTGTGCTTCATTTTTGTTGTTCTAATGGTAAGACAGACATGAGCAAATACTTAGTCAACAAATATCCTTATTTACTCAGAATCGAAGACAATGATGGTCAGAATGCCTTACATCGTGCAGCCTGTAGTGGTAATGTTGCTCTTGTTATGTTTCTCTTAGAAAAAGATTTAGATATCAAACGCACTACAAATAACAGGAAAACTGTGCTACATCTGTGTTGCTTGAAAGGTAAGATAGATATGTGTAAATACTTGGTCAACGCATATCCTTTTTTACTCGATATCACTGACTATAATGGTGGGAATGCCTTACATCATGCAGCCTGTAGTGGTAATGTTGCTCTTGTTAAATTTCTCCTAGAGAAGGACTTAGATATCAAAAGCACTAAATATAACGGGCAAACTGTGCTACATCTGAGTTGTTTGAACAATAAGATGGATATGTGCAAATACTTGGTCAACACATATCCTTTTTTACTCGATGTCACCGACTATTATGGTCAAAATGCCTTACATGTTGCGGCGTGGAATGGTAACATTGAAATACTTAAGTTTCTCTTAGATAAAGACTTAGATATCAACAGCACTAGAAATGACAAAAGACTGTATTACATATGTGTTGTATGAGTAAGAAAAAAAAAATGTATAAGTATTTAGTCGACAAGTATCCAAACTTAGTGGATGTCAAAGACATATATGGCAACAAAGCTGTTCTTTATGGAAAATTAAAAGTAAAAATAGGCTTTTGAATTAATGATAGACATGTTACCGGGCTTTAGGAAAAGAAAAAAGTAAACCAAAGAGTCTCTCAGAGCCTTTGTTGTTGTGAAAGAAATAGACTTTGCTTAAATATTAATAAATGCCATGTATTTTTAAAGCAAAGAATTTTATGCAAGGACTAATGAAAACATCAAATCGGTTTGCGTTCTCTGCCTTCTCTTAATGTGGTTAAGTTTAAGTCGAAGACGTAGATATCTACTGAAGTGGAGTAAGCTATTAGTATTTGTTATAAATGTATCGGATATTCCACATTTATTACTTTACTTTCTACAGAGTAGTTTAAATTTACTTATTGATCTTGATGTATATATTGTAGTATTATTTCATGATGTATTTTGGAAACTACTAATCGTGAAATGGCAGTTATCTAGAGATTTTTATTCAAGCAATTGAAAAAGTTACATGTTGTAAATAATACTGGTGCATGCAAATTTTCATGATAATTTTCAAGAGAATATAAAATGAATGAATATTCATAGATATAATTATATTTATATAATAATGTTGTGTTTTGCGTGCACTACCGTAAATCTGGAATTTTTTACATCGATTTTATTTTGCGAATTTGGGTCAAGATGTTGTTGATTAATTTTTACGTTTCAAAATTTTGCAAATTACCACTGCTTTGTTTACATTTTCTTACTTGTTATCTATTTTTAATAAAAATATTTTTTGCGAATTCAATGAACTCGCAAATTTACTAAAAATTTCCAGATTTACGGTATGCCTAAATAGTACTCAGGGTTTGACACATGGTGCACTAGCCGGAGGCACTATGTATCAAACACTGACTACTATTAAGGCATAGTGCATGTAAAACACAATACTTTTGTTATTATTATGCTGACTATTATTACTGTATAAAAACGGAAATATTTTCTTCATTTCCCAGCGTTTTTTCATCACCTGTACCTTTAGTCTACTCTATTATGATGTCACCTTATGCAACATGTACGTCATAATCTTTTTCTTATATATAAATACTAAAATTACTGTGAATCTAATACATGAAGCAAAAATTCTTAAGTTACAAATCAAATCAAAATTGCCTTTTTATACAAATTTTAAATTAGCTGCTCAAATGAAATGAACATTGTAAATGTTAACCTTGCAGTACCTCCAACTCCAATCTCCAAGAAACACAAGCAAGGTCATACTTTGAAAGTGTGCTAAATGTCCATTTTTGTAGAACGTCTCGATTGAGGAACAACAATAAAAATACCGCCCAAAAAATCAATGCTATTCTCTAAAATCTTCATTAAAAAAGTTCAATGAGCAAAATGTAAATGTTTACTGTCCAATTTCTTACATTTGCTTTTACACTGTAAAATCAGAATCATATTTCATGTTGAATGTTTTTAAGGTTCATTGATACTCTGATGAGAGAGATATCTCTACAGAAAAGAAAGATAACTTTCTGCAGACATTTTGTCATGAAATTCAGTAAATTGTCATGCCAGAGTTTTACAAATCTCTATCAGAAGGATCATTTAATTTCTAAATCAAGCAACGTTCAGAGGTTGATTTCTAGTTCTATTGGTAGTATATTTATAAATTATTTTTAACAGTTTGCCTAAAAAAATTATACTCAGTTCCTTTAAACGGTGTAAATTGAAAAAAAAAAACCTATCTCTAAACGTGTAAGTCTTTTAATTGTAAAGAAATAACAGCTGCAGAATTGTTTATAAACATTTAACTGATATTTTTTTCATTAAAAAAGAAATTCAAGGATGATAATGGAACGATAACTCTTTTTTTATGGATGCATTTTATTTTACATGTAAAGCAAACAATTTGATATTCTGATTTAAAAAGCATCGCTCCAGTATGTTTTCTAAAGGGAATTAGATAGGTATGAGAGAAATTATTATTTTTATATATACCTCATATTTTTAATTTAATTGTGAGATTAAAAATAATTGATCTTTCTAATGACCATATCAAATTTTCATCAAATCATGATTTGACATATCATTCATTTCTGAAAAAGTAAGCAACGCTTTATGCTTCAAATCATTTTTATTTGAATTGAATGTTATAGTTGTTGATGAAAATCAATGTTTGGTTTAAAAAAAAAAGTCATGAAATGTGGAGCAGAGGGATATTGTCCCTTAATTTCTTATCGTCAGAATATCCTAAATAATTGTTGAATTTGTTTATGTATTCTTAACATTATTGGAAACTGTCTGTAAATGTTGTTTGTTGTTAACAATGGAATAATGAATGTCCTTACACTGAAATTGAAAGGCTTGTATGTTTCACGTTTTTCACATACATGTATGTAACAAATTAGGGTTGTCTTTTAAAGCCTTATTGATTGATGAAAATGGTTCCAATTTTTTTTATATAGAAAAAAAAGGTTAGATTAAAACTGTTGCCATCCCTAAAAAGCATATTAAGAGTCAATTATTTTTAAAATGCAACCCAGACATGTAACATGATATAATGCTTATATATATTATAATTTTGTTCTTGAATAAAATAAAGCTGTGAGATAATTTTGTTTGCTTTGTTTTATAAAGTTTCGTCTGTATTAAGTTTTAAGTTAAGCCACAATGTGGACCAAATTTATGAAGTTGAAATATAGAGTTAAGTTGGAAAGCATAATTTTAAGAACAGAAGGTCTAGATATAATCAAGTTATCGTTTAAATAATCAATCATTACTTGATCTGTGTAAATATGTTTGTTAAAAGCGTGCTCCCCCCCTATTTCTTAAGAATTAAGTATGAAAAACTTTTTAAACATGAAAGATTAACACTAATTTCGCTGTATTGTGATCTTAAAAACTTTGTCTGACATGTATAAATACTGTACATTTCTTGTCATAAAAATTGACATAATTGTTATTTTCTGTAAAAATCTTAAATATTTAGTCAAATATCTAGCCTCAGAGATGGTAAGATATAGTTTAAGACTTTATATGCTGATTTTCGGAGTTTCAAGCATCACCATATTTTGATCATTTTACACCTTTTCCTTTATTTTAGGCAATTAAATGAAATATAAATATATCAATAACAACAAACCAATAATATGGGATTTAAACGTTTTAATCTCTCAGTCGTAACCGATGCAGCATAAAAAAGATTATCCTCTCTTTTCCATAAGCAGTGCAAATGATTTCTGAAAATGACTTAAGCACGCATTTCAATTGCTTTAAACGGAATGTTTCTAAATAAATGTGATTTGGTTGCAATTGTAACTATGCACTACATTACATCTCGACTTGTTGCCCTAACGTATCATTAGCATGAATGACAGCCGTTGCTAGAAAAAAAAAACGGTCTTATCATCTGTAAAAAAAGGCATTTAAGAATGGCAAAGAATATTTCTTTTGCTAGGATCTCGAGATTGATGAAGCTTTTGCATTGTTTAATTCAAGCTGTAGTTTTAATGTGCTTGGCATTCTTGTCTGATAAAATTGAAAGACCGGATTGGGAATGTTTTAAAAGTCATGTATAATATTTTAAAGATAAAAGAAAAAAAAATTTTATTAACTTTCTGATGCTTTTGATTCCAGGTTCATCTTAGTATATACAATTTTGAAAATCAATAGATAAATAGAGGATATCTGTATTGTGTGAATTGACAATAGTTATTTTTGCGAGGCTTGCCGAGAGAATATACACCATTCCAACAAGTTAGATAAAGCCAATATCAAAACACAAAATCAAAGATGATCTATTTATCTCATACGAATTTCGTTTAATAAAATTTTTAGACTTCCCCTGTAAAAGTACATGAATGATTTCAAATTCAAATTGATGACGTAAAACTTGATGACGTAGCACCGTTGATGTTGACATGCCTCGAAAGGGAGTAGATCGGCTTCAAAATTTAGAAATTGTGTCATCTGTGTCTTTGAAAACACTATTTGACAATTGCTTAGGCCTTATATCAAGCAAACTTCTGAATTGAAGTTGTAAGGACCAAAGTATCGCGAAACCTAACTATTTGTACGATGGCAGTACAAAACGTGCTAGACAAGGCTAGGCTACTTGTAAGTTGTAGATTCAGTGTTAATCTATGTTATGGTACGTTACACCTACATTACGAGGTGGGCATAAGTTGTATAATATAAAAAAGCATTGTTGAAAATGGAATCTTATAACAACATCTTAACTGCTAGGCTTTACTTTCTTCGAATACGATTTAAGAGAAGGAGGGGGGGGGGTTACATCAGTTTTTAAGTAGCCAGTACAGCTCTTGTACATTGATAAAATCAGATTCAGGGTTCTCCATCATTTGAGATTTTACTGTGCGGCAGAGTTTACGCAATTCACTTATATTTTGCGGTATTTTCGCGAACAAATTTGCAACTGAATCAAAATTCATTATAATTCCAAAAATTATACACTTATTTAAAAATCTCTAATTCGTTACACAAAGGGTATGGTCGTACATACTGATAAAAGGAAAAAAAGCGTTCTGATAAGCAGGGGAAATTCTGACGGATAGTAGAACTACTTAACATTTTTGAAAATAGATTTACCGTGTTTATTTTTGAAGTTTCTTGATCGCATTACCGCATTACAAAAAAGGAACTTCAGAACAGTAAAATATTTTAAAGAGTTCCTTGAACATGCTGAAATTTCAAAATTTTTGGCAATTTATTTCCATCGATTAAATGACTTCGGTACGATGTTATGTTTGACTTACAGTGCTTACATGATTCTAGAGCCTTGGCTCTATAGTAAAGACATAATTAAAAAAAAATTTCATAAAAAATACAATGTATTTTATTGCAACTGCCAATTAACCGTACATTGAATTTGTCTTTGTTCTGTCATGCGTAAAGTCTGGCGCGGGTCTAGGAGATAATTGATTGATTACTCAAGGTAAAGCC